CTCCCCCACTGCTGTCCCACCCGCTTTAGAGAGCCCTCTTGCAGCGCCTGGCTCCCGCAGGGTCCTATTTTCAGTGCGATCTCCTAAAAACCCTGGCTGCAGGTGGAGAATTCACATCCTCTGGCAGATTCAACAGGTCCGATGTTACGTCGAATCACCTTCTCTTTCAGGGTCTTTGGCCCTTATAACACGAGAGTTGTTCACCAGATTTGAAACGCTTTCCCTCAAGGAGGCAGATGCCAGATATGTTATTCACTGGAAGGGAAGCAGACTCGGAAGCTGGTCCATCCTCGCTGGGGTCTGAGTGGCACATCAGTCTTGTTTATGACCGTCTCTGTCCCACTGGGAAAAAATTGTGGGCACAGTCTCTCACTGAACTCTGGGCTGGATCTGATAAGCTCCCGTAGTTGGCTTAAGAAGCCCATTTGCCTTGGCCCCCTTTCCCCACCCCCAACCCCCTGTCCTCCCAGCAGTCTCATTTGCTGGATCTGACGTAGGAGGCTGAGGCTTACTTCCTACCGCTGACTCCCAGTTCGGTCTTGGTGGCTTGGCTTGGAGTCCATTACTTTCTCCCTGACAACAAGAATTCAGGCAGCCCTCAGGATTGTGATAAAGTCTCACATTTTTGGGAAATTCTTGGCTGTAAATTTTTCTCATTAGGACTTGACTTATGTGCTGCTAACTCTCTGAGCTGTGTTCCATCTCCTTTGGTAGATGGCCCCCTGTACATGTTTTTGCAATCTGAGTAGAAAGGCTGAATGGATCTCCTCTTCTGTTAATGTAAGGTTTATAATGCAACATAGCGATCCCAGAAACTTCTTGCTTTGCCCCATGTTTTCTCTGCAGCACTGAGATAGTTGGCATGTGAAGGGAATCTTTATGTTTTAAAGGGAGATAACCTTGTTTTAAAATTGATATTGATTTCACTCATCTAATGTCCCCTATCTGTAAAATATTTGAAAATCTACACAATGTATTATTTAGAGCACTTGTTCATATAATTTATAAATAAATGTACATATATATTCAGAATTTTTTACTGATAGGATGCATTATACATGTACCGATCACTCATGGGAAAGCTCCCTTCTCAATTTTTTATTTTGAAAAATTTCAAACCTATAGAAGAATTGCAAGAATAGCATAACAGACATTCTTTTACTTTTCATGTAGATTGTTAACATTTTACTTACTGTTATATTTTGCCTAATGAAAGAGACAGAGAGATACAGAGAGACAGAGAGAGGAACCATTTGAGAGTAAGTTGCAGACATCATGACACTTCATCCCTGAATACTTACCCGCTTTATCTTAAGAACAAGAGAATTCTTCTGTGTGACCACAGTGCAGTCGTTACAGTCAGGAATCTACATTGAGATAATATTCGAATATACTCGTACTAATATACAGTCCACGTTCAAATACGGGTTTTGATAACTTGGAATCCATGAATGATCTCCAAGGTCGGCCCCTGCAGACCTGCACTTCGTGGGCGCCATTTCCTCGTCTCAAGTGCTTGCCCTACTTGTGCTGGTTCATTGACGAAAAAGCTGACTCCGAATCCCTTCCCCCAGCTGTTGCTGGCATTTTATTTCCTGCATATTTCCCAAGCTACAGCAGTTGTTCTTACACCTTCTGGATTGTGAGCAGCTGTCAGTTTCCCAAGAGATTTCCTCTCTCCTGCATGGAGCCAGTTAAAAGTTTTGAACTTGTCCAAGAGTGTCTGCCATTGACTTCCTCTCTGCCTAGAAAGGAATTTAATTTCTTAAGAATCTGTGTGTGTGATAGTAGGTACAAACAAGTTTCCAGTTTAGGTATTTGACTCAAGCTTTCTCAGTTTAGTGACATTACCCAGACAGTATAAATCTGATTTTCCATCTGGACATCCCTGTCCCAAGCAGGCACCTTTCCTCCGTATCGTGTCATACTTCCAATCTTAGAATAGCTTCTACCGTTCCTCTGACTTTCCAGAAGTGTTGGAGGACCCTTCAGAGTTTAGGTCAGGTCAGCTTGTGCTCCTTACGCCATAATTCTGGAGCTCAGTCTCCATGAAGATGAGCTCTGACCCCGAGACTCTGTCAAGATTTTAATCTCTGACAGTAGCCTCCAAATGTAGTCTGGGTAGATTGCAACAATCTCAGAATCCTTCATCAATAAATAATCAGCAGTCCAGAAACTAAATGCTCATGTTGCTTTATTATTGTTACTCAAAACAAAAAGGAAAAAAGAAAAAGGAGGATTTCATTCATCAAGAGTAGCAATATTTTAAAGCGTCTTTTCCATTGTTTTCTCTCCCTCTTGTTACCTTGCTGCATGACACCTATATCTCCTCACAAGCCCCTCTTCCATCATCCCAAGTTTCATCCAGAAACACTTCCTGCAGCCTAGTTGACAGAGGCTCTTTCTTCCCACTCCTCTCTCAGCTTTTTATCGGGTAGATCAGTTTAGTCTCTCAGGCTTTCTTCTTCCCCAACACTCTCCCCATGACTCAGACTTGCCCTGGGAACAACAGGCTGGGAGTAGATGCAGCAAGAAAGCGTCTTTCTTTCTTAGGAAAGAAGGGATAAAATGAAAGGGGAAGGGAGAAATCAGCAAACGCTCATTATTTGGTATCTTTTTATTACTTTCAGATGTAACCTTTAAATGATTTTCAACAAAATTAAAACACAAATTTATGCTTTTTCTTTGAGAATATGCCTGTAGGCCTTGTCTGAACTGTTAGGAGGCTCAGAACTAAATTCAGAGCTCTGCTGGTATTGGCGCTTTGTCCATCCCACGTGTACTTCTTTATTTCAGAGTAATTTCTTTTGATGCATTTAAAGGCTTCTTTGTAAATGTACTTTCCAATAACAACTTTATCAAGATAAATTCACATATAATAAAACTTACCCTTTTAAAAGTGTACAATTCAGTATTTTTAGTATATTCACAGAGTTTTATAAACATCACTGCTATCTAATTTCAGAACATTTTCATTACCTGAAAAAGAAATGGGGAACAGTTACTCCCCATTTTCTACTCCCACCAACCCCTGGCCTTTTCTGGATCTCTCATATAAATGGAATCATATAATAAGTGGTCTTTTGTGACTGAGTTACTTCCCCTAACACAGTGTTTTCAAGGTTCATCCACATTGTAACATGTATCAGTACTGCGTTCCTTTTTATTGCTGAGTCATACTCTGCTGCATGGATATAGTATCTACTCGTCCATTGATGGATATGTAGGCTGTCTTCACTTTTTGGTGATTATGAATAGTGCTGCTACGAACATTCTTGTGAAGGTTTTGTGTGGACGTAAGTTTTTAGTTCTCTTGCATATGTGCACCTTGGAGTGGAATTGCTGGGTCATAAGTCAACTCTATGTTTACAATTTGAAAACTGGCCAACTGTTATTCACAGCAGTCACACCATTTTGCATTTTACCAGCAGTATAGGAGGGTTCCAATTTCCCCACTTCTTCACCAACACTTGTTACTGCCTATCTTTTTGGTTATAGTCATCCAGTGGATAAGTGGTAGCTCATTCATATTTATTTTGAATGGTCAGTTAAAAAACTTTGTGCCTAATTATGCAAAACTACCTCAAATTCTTTTTTTAAAAAAATTGTGGTACGATATACAGAACATAAAATTTTACCATTTTTAACCATTTTTACATGTACAATTCAGTGACATGAAGTACATTCACACTGTTGTGTAACCATCACCACTGTCCATTTCCAGAACTTGGTCATCATCTTAAACTGAAACTCTGTGCCCATTAAACAGGAGCTCCCCATTCCCTCAGCTCCTGGTAACTCCTATTCCACATTCTAGCTCTATGAATTAGCCTACACCAGGTAACTCACAGGAGTGGAATTATACAGTGTTTGTCTTTCTGTGTCTGGCTTATTTCATGTATAGTGATGTCTTCACAGTTCATCCACGCTGTAGTATGTATCAGAGCCTCATTCCTCTGACTCAGATTCTTTTTTGTCAGCAGATCTGGTATAATTTTAAATACTAAACTAATAAAGCAAATGTGCCTCGTACTTGAGGATGCTCTGTTTTGGCTTTAAGATCCTGGGATAGCTTCTGAGAGAGAGGTACCACCCTTGCCTCCTGCCTGCAGTGAGTGTTGTGGCCACCTCCCAGTTCCCATAGACTCATGGGTAAAGTCAGAAGACCTTTTTTCAGAAAAACTGCCAATTTCCCTCAGCACTGATGACTTGCCACGGAGATTTTAAGTGGGGCTTCCTTGTGGTAAATCACCCAATGAGGAGACATTTTGCTCTTTCTAATGTTTGTATACCAGGGATGACCCCTTGGCAGGGGTAAAAAGTGCAAGTTGCTTTCCCTGTGGAGCTCGGTAGAGTCTATGTGTGAGTACCACAGACTTTGTTTTAATATTTAACCCCTGAATCATGCTATCTACCATTTCATCTCATCAATCTTCCACATAATGATACTCTAATATTTGCTCATAAACTATAACTGCTTTAAGACATGTTCATCCAGTCTATATGCTTAGCAGAGTCTGTATAACTGGGTTGGATTCAATTCTTCATTCATGAAAGGAGTTGTTAAATGAATTTCATTGACTTAAAAAAATTTATTATTTATTTTATTATTTTTGGCTGTGTTGGGTCTTCATTGCTGCGCGCGGGCTTTCTCTAGTTGCGGCGAGCGGGAGCCACTCTTTGCTGCAGCGCGCGGGCGGGCCTCTCACTGCGGTGGCCTCTCTTGTTGTGGGGCATGGGCTCTAGGTGCACGGCTTCAGTAGCTGTGGCTCGGGGGCTCTAGAGTGCAGGCTCAGTTGTTGTGGCACACGAGCCCTGTTGCTCCGCGACATGTGGGATCTTCCCGGAGCAGGGATCTAACCCGTGTCCCCTGTGTTAGCAGGCGGACTCCCAACCACTGTGCCACCAGGAAGTCCCCACTGACTTCTGATTTGTCTTGTTCATACAATTTTCCTGAATAAATGCAGAAGAAATTATCAGCGTTCTCTTTGACTGCTTAGATTAAAACTTTGGAACAGACCAAAGCTATTGAAGACCTAAATAAATCCAGAGACAAACTGGAAAAGATGAAGGAGAATACTGAGAAAAAGCTACTGTCTGTCAAATCAGAATTGGAGACTACAGAGCATGGGGCTAAGGAGAGTAAAGAGAGGGCCAGAAACATGCTAGAAGTGGTAACCAGTGAAATGAAGACATTAAAAAAATCTCTGGAAGAAGCAGAAGAGAGAGAAAAGCAGGTGGGTAGAAATCTGGCAGTGAAACCTGACTTAGGAAAGATGGGGCAATTCAAAAGCTTGATAATTATTCGTACATTTCTTCATAACCAATTTATCAAGCTTTCTATATCATTCTAACGTATCTATCTGTCTTCTACCATCTTTTTGGCATTAAAAGAACCATTATGATTTACTCCACTGAGAAAAACAATTCACATTTTCGTGGCGCGAACTGTAGCAAAGAAAAAGACATTCTTATCGAAGCCATGGAAAGCCTGTGAAAAGCCAGGTTCTGGTTGTGAAGAGGTTTTTATTATATTTGCTGATTGCCTCTGAAGTTTATGTTATCCCAGATCTTCTAACGTTATCCAGGGCTGCAGCCTCAGGAGGGAAATTTTATCTCCAGCAGAGATCAATTGCAGGAAACAATCCCAATTCTCAAACAGTGGCACCCAGACCTGATGGCCGACCAAGCCCAGATGTAAACCATAAAACAGAACTCATGCGCCCGCTGGTTGCAAGGAGGAGTTTTATCTGGTGAGTCCATCAGGAGGTCAGGCATAAAAAAACATGTCCTGGGCAGCCTGACCCCTGCTTTTGGCTTTTATCTCAGTCTCTCTCTGCAGCTCAGAAGGGCACAGAGTGGGCTCTGATCCGAGGATATTTTTTCTCTTTGGCTGCCTCTGCTTTGGCTCATGTGTCAGGCCGAGTTGAGGAAGGCCAAACTCTAAGAGTGAGTGGTCTCAGAGGAAACCTCTCATCAATTAAGAGCCTTGGCCATATTCAAAAGGGTGGAAAAGTTTGGGGAAAACTTCTTCATCAGGGAGACTAGGCTGGAAAGAGTGTTCTGTTTCCCGAGTTGGATTCAGCATAGGAAGGATGCTGGTAAGTGAATGAGCACATGATGGGAATGTGTGGAAGGCACTTCTCCTGGAGGAAACATCTGCCTTCGGATTTGATCACACCTTTTCTAAAATGGAAGGTACCTCTGGAGAGGGGTTGTCTGGCCATCTCTAGTTGATCTGCTTCTGCTTTTGCCTAGAATCACAGCAACCAGTCAATGAGAATTTGAAGGGGTATAAGGCACATTTTGTCCATTTTCTCTAGCTCCACAATGCTCATTTTTCCTTTTGTGATGGACAAATAATTGTCCCAGAGAGTCCAGTGTTGTGGATTGTGAGGTGGCAATCTGTGTGATGTGATTTGATCAACGCTTAGAAGTCCTCCATTTTCATCAGCTCATACTTTTTTTTTTTTTTGCCATTTGTTCTTCCTTTTGTTTAAGAGGTTCATTGCCCAGTTAACATCCCAGTGCATAAATGCTTATAACACAAGAGACACAACCACACCAACAATTGTAGAGCATTTCCTAGTAGGCAGAACACATACACAGTCATCGTTTCATTTGATCCAAATTTCAGGACAGCCCTGGGAAAAAGATATGCTTAGTCATTCACCCTGGAAGTGGGAAAATGAAATCTTATCAAGGCCAGAATCTCATTCATAGTTGCTGAACTGGGCTTCTTGATTTGGTAGCCGGTACCATATTAATTGGCTCATCAGAAAAGTGGTTATGAAATTGCTGAAGGTTAGTGTCTTTAGAGGTAATTTAGCAGGTTAGCCTTCTTCTTTTCCTTCTTCTTCTTCTCCTTCTTCCTCTTCTTCTTCTTCCTCTTCTTCTTCTTCTTCCTCTTCTTCTTCTTCTTCTCCTTCTTCTTCTTCTTCCTCTTCTCCTCCTCATCCCCCTCCCCTCCCCCACCCTCCTCCTCCTCC